GGTCCCTTTGGTCCCCCTGTGGTCCCTTTGCAGTCACCCTGCGGTCTCTTTGCGGTCTCTGTGCGGTCCCCCTGACTGTTCCCTTTTCTCCTGTTCTTTGTCTTCACAGGCAGAACCTGAGGGGTTTTCACACTTCCACCTGTACGTCTGTGCTGCCTTCCTGGTGAGATGGAGGAAAGAGATTCTGGAAGAAAAGGATTTTCAGGTAATTGCTGGTGCGGCCCGTCCCCTGCGCTCGCCCGCATGTCCCCCGGCTCCTTGGCGCTGTCGTTATTAACTCCTGAGGTCGCGGGGTCAGTGGCGCTGCATTAACATGATGACAGCGACAGCTGCTGTAAGGTGACATTGCCTGCTTCCCATGCACCCCCCCCCCTTTGCCTCGTCCCTTGTGTGTAGCGTGAGGGGTGTGGGGGTGTCAGACGGGCTCCTGTTGGTGCAAGCATGTGTGCGAAGGCTTCTGACGTTGGCCTGCCCTCCTCCCTGCCAGGCCAAACTCCGCAGTGACAACATGCCTCTGACACACAGGGCGACATGCTGACTCTCTGTCACTAGAGGGCACTCCAGAGCGCCCTGTCACTCAAACCTGGAACAGCTCGTTCCTCACAAGCTATCTAAACCAGCGTGAACCAGGCGCATGCCCCCAGAATCCAGCCAGTACTCTCCATGTATCCTCACTCTCCATTTACCGACCATCATCCTGCCACCTCCATAAAATGTCCCTGCCTCTATCTGGCTAGTTGATGCCCATTCCTGTCCTTGTCTTCATTCCTCCTGTCCTCCTCTTTCTGTTATACACATGTTCCATCATTGCTTCTTTGGCCCACGTTCTCCGTGCACAGACTGTCTCTGTCGATCCCAATGTGCGGCAGCAGGTTGGACTGAACCCCCCCCCCCAGCATGTGTACTAAACCTGGTAATTAGCTGATTAATGTGTGTTTGAGCAGGGAAATCAGCAAACTGTGTTGCAGACCCAGGAGGACCGGAACTGGGGAACCCTGTTTTATAGTCTCCAGCCCCCCCCCCCCCCCCCCTCCCCCCCCCCAATATTTCCCCTGCTGGGTTTATCGGTGACACTCAGCATTTATAGGAAACAGTCTGGAGTTACGGGTTTATATGTTTATGCGCTGATATGTGGAGTAGAATGATAAAACTCGCCGCTGCTTTCATGGGTCCTTAACAGGATCGCGTTCCCCGAGTTCGCCGGCTGATGGTTTGACAGATTTATTTTTGATTCTTCTTGCTGCTTTCTTCCGACATTCAGAAAGTCCACTCAGGAAGCCAGGCCCCAAAAAGTCCATGGAGTGAGAGCCTGACTTCAAAGTCGCCGAGTGGTGGGAGGGGATTATTTTAATGCCGGTGTTGCTTCGCATGGGCCGCATCCCGGTTAGTTTGGGTCCAGCCCCGCGGTGATCCCACCCCCGCCCGGTTCTGTTTAATCCGTGCCTTGAAGTGGGCAGCAAGTGATGACATCATGCAGACGGTCGCTGTTGCCTTCGGAAGGCTGACTCTGGGGCCGTAGCAGCTGGGTCAGGCTCCTAGAACGTCGGCTGGCTGCCCCGCTCCCCACGAAGACGACCAAAATCTCTCTGTCACCTCTGAACCAGTGTCACCTCGATGATGGCTTTAACCTTACGCTTCATCTACGATGGCTGATATTCTCTTCAAATCTGCAAGCCATCGGAGTCGTTTATCGGCCTGCAATCCCTGTCTGATGCAGGTCACCTGGGTCCACCAAGTAACCCCACCATGAACCGGCTTCCAAGAGACCACCAATCAGAAATCAGTCTGATTTCCTCATCTCCTGCTGGACTAATGAGTAGGTTTCCCTGGTTTAGGAACGCCCCCCTATCATTGTGTGCTGTGACCCCACCCACAGAAATCGGCTCGCTGTGTGTCACAGGGCACAGTGTGGCCTGCATCAGTCTGTACTGAGCTTTCCCATCTGATCCTAGCCTGAACCATTTCACCTGGGATCGAACCCGGGGCCGCTCTGATCGAGGGTCCTCCACTCTCACATGCCGCCACGCCATCCCGCTGCCTCCAGCGGTACCGTATCCCTCCCGTCGTCGTCGTCACCATGTCTGTCCCCATGAGTGATAGCAGATGTGATGAAGTCAGTCACCCACGCCTGACCTGCCCGTTCCTCTTCTCCTTGCCTGCTGCGAGCCCCCACAAGGGGATTCCCGGGGTCATGATTTTCCAGGGGTTAAATGTCCACGGCTTAAGGGCCGCATTTCACACCGCAGGACTGCTGTCCGGCACAGCCTGGGCTCCTTCCTAAGCGGTGTGTGCATACAGAGACGTGCCAGGTTGGAGGTCAGCATCCTGCGGATTCAACGCTTGGCTGTACATCATTCTTCCTCTCCGCCATGGCACCGATCCATCACCTGGGTCTCTGATGAATGTCCGATTTGGATCTGGATTCCTACCGGCTGTGTTTTCGATGGATTTCCAGTGGCGAGGGTTCTTTGAAAGGTTCTCTTCCCAGATCAAGAAGTTCCCTCCTCTCAGGCCACTGGAACCAGCTTTTCCCTCATGTCCCATCCGATCCGGGCTCACTGGTGCCAATTACAGTGTGCAGGATGAAGGTTTGCAGTGGCACTGCTGTTACCAATGTCTCGTCCTGCTGTTTAATCGGAGAACTATGAGCAGGCGTTACAGACCTCGGCCTTACCGTGTCAGCTCTGCGTGGGGCTTCCCCCCCACCTCTGTATCCGGGACGCGCCCCGAGCCCACCCACATTGCTATCAAAGTTCTCTGTGGGTTTCGGCAAACCTCAGTGTCACAGAGAGTTAAATTAGTTGTCGCTCGGTGAACAGGGGCCCACGCGGCGGCTTGTGAAGGTATCTGGGACGCCCCGGAAAAGCCGCCCTATTACACCATGAATTGCTCATTATTTTTCCGCCTTCAAGGGCCCAGTCTGATACTCCTAAAGTTCCCTTTATCGACTGGTTGTCTCTCTTAATTTTGGCTTAATGAGTTTAAATCAAATAATCAACATAATTTTTTCCCCATAATTCTGTATTTTTCCCCATTTTTGTAATGAATATAATGATGTGTGAAAGTCGCCCCAAGCGGGGGTTTGCACACACTGTGATGGAAGCAGTTGGTTAAACAATCTTTCCATTACCACCAGTACCGTCACTGTGGTGTTTGATTATGGAACCTGCCAGGTACTGGTTGACTTTGCCCTTAACTCAGTTTGCTACGCTTGGGGAGGTTTAACTGCCAGTGGATTTCCAGTGTTGGCATGGAGCCTTCATTATACAGCAAGAGCTCAGCCGCCCCTAAGGTCTCGTTCAGCAGGGGCCCCGAAGTCCGTCTGGTCTCGACAGCAAACAGTGGTTAGCGACTTTGTGTCGGTTCCGTCCATGCTGGTCTTTCATGGTGTCCAGCTTTTATGCTCTTTCTTTGTGTTAAAGGTATGAAGGGGGTGTGAAGTTACAGCCTGTGCTGTGGTAGGGAGCTGGGAGTGCGGTGGGGGGCCTCTGAAGATGTGTTATGATGCCCCTGGAAGCTGGTGGGCGGTGCTGCCAGCGAGGCGACCCTACAGTCATTGGATGCTGTTTCCACACAGTCACAGGCCCGTTCACTCCGGTTGGCTGCTGTCTTATTGGCTCATGGTGTTTTGCTGCAATTATACTGATTGATGAAATTCCAGCTCCATGAAAGCCAATAGGAGCTGAGAGGAAGTGACACGGTTGGGGAAACGCCAGCGTTCCTGTCAGCTGCGGTCACTGCCCCTGGTCCCAGACTCGTTGCTGATGAACTGAACATGGGTATTGAACAAATGCCTTGGAACTAATTTGGAGGTTAATTTCAGTTCCAGTGTAGCGGTTAACACAAAGCTATTAGTATTGTGTAGTAGGAGAATCAGACAGTTACTGGAATTTCAGCCTCAGTCTGTGCGGGTCTCTGTGTGATTCAGCCTCAGTCTGCTGGTCTAAGTGTGATGACACTGGGTGTGAGTGCATGTAGGTGTCAATTTACCTGCTCTCTCAAGTGTCCATTAAACATTCCCTTAATGAAGGTAGAATGACCCCCTCCCCTCCCATCCCACTTGTCTCCCACATGGTGACTGATGATCTTTTCTCGCTCACTGCCTGCTTGCACATCCACCACCAGCCGCTCTTAATGGCTCGTCATCTCGCGCGCACACACCTTATCTGCCACTCCTGTACCTCTTCCTTGCCAGTCGCCAGCTCGCCCTTATCGGGCCGCCGCGGGAACTCGTGGGCTCCACGCCCTGAAAAAAATTCAATCACCTAAGCAGATAAGAGAGCAAATTGAAAGGGAAGCCTGTGAGGAGGAGAAAAAACTGATTTCACAGTTTGAGCTAAGAGGGTAATTTTGTAGACCCTGATTTACCCGATGGTGATTAAAAGTTGCTCCAGCTTTAATAGTCCAGCGAAGGAGCCTCCTCTATCCAGGATAATTCCATGATTTTGGAAAATTGATGTAAGTTAAAACACTCTTGAGGTGAAGGAGCACATGGCTGAATTGACCCAGAAAAAATGGAGAGACGTGTTTATTTTCTGCTGTCGGGAAGGATATGGCTGTTCCTTTAAGATCAAGGCTTAATGAAGTTCTCCCTGGGCAACACATTTAACTACAGTTCTATTAAGGTAGCCATCAGAAAAGCCCGAGGAGATCCGTCCGCTGCGTCTTAATTCGACGAAAGCCCCACTTCAATCTCCTTTAATGGTCTTTTGCGAGATCGTTCAGGAGTTTCTCCGCAGTTGTGAAGTCTTCACTTGTTAAGGAAGCGCAGCCACTCTCAGGTGTGTGGGAAATGGTCACGTGACCCCAAATGCCCGCCTCTCTGTGAACGACCCTAAAGATAAAATCTCTACATTCTCCTTGTCTGTTGTTGTTTTTTTTGTTTTTTTTTTCCTGGCTGATGCATTGTTTTATATCTTAATGCCCCAGCATCTGGGTCTCAGACGGTTGCTGTTTATGGCGCATGTGCTTTGCTTGGCTCATTTTTCTGAGTGAGTCTGTACTGGTCATCTGAGACCATTAGAGAGATGGGGATGGATATTCGTAGCAGACCAGCAATATGCCAATTTTGACAGATTGACAGATTGAAATCCGTGGTGGAAGCAGAGGTTGTGGTGCGAGGTTGCTGGGTTCGTCATGGGAATGGCGAGCTGGAGGCCCCACAGCCACCATCTCCTCGGAGCACCTGGACCATTTCTCCGGCCCACGCTGCCATTCCACTTTGTGCCACGCCACTTAAGTGCCCGTCGGTTCCGCAGTGAAAGCAGCCCGTTTTGTGCGGCTGAATAGCGGACGCTGGCAGGTGGGCTGTTTGGAAAAGGCTGACCCTTGCTCACTGGCCTATTGAGGGAATTTACAAATGACCGCCACTTAGCCGCCAATGGCCACTTGATTATTCTTTTATTATTTTTTTCAAACACTCTCCTTTTATGGGCAGGTAATTGCTTCTCTGGCAGGATCATACGGCTGCAGTTATTACATCTGAAAAGGGTTTTAGCATTATTGCACAGGGAATGAGTATTACAGTGCAGGAATGTCGACTTTCTGAACCACATCGTAGCTCTGAGGGCCGCTTGCTGGTTGGCTGGCCTGCTACATACCTCACCCCTCATGCTGGTGATCTTCTCCCCAGCACCAACCCCTTCTTCACAGCAGCAGTGTCAGATCAGATGTTATTTCTTAAAAGGATAACCTGATATTCTATAGAAATATCCTTCTAAATCAAAGAATAGGAGAGGATGACCTGTCCTAAAGATCCAAATCTGATAAGTTCAGAGGTTATGTTCTCCTGATGATACATGTCTGCTAAGTTCAGAGGTTATGTTCTCTTGATGATCCAGGTCTGCTAAGTTCAGAGGTTATGTTCTCTTGATGATCCAGGTCTGCTAAGTTCAGAGGTTATCCTATCCTAAAGATCCAGATCTGGTAAGTTCTAGAGTTGTGCTCTCCTAGTGATGTAGTTATGAGTTCAAGGGCTGGCCTTTCCTTGTGATCTAAATCTCATGACTTCTGGAGTTGGGTTCTCCTTATAAACTGAAGTTAAAGTATTTGATGAGACTCCTATGCTGACCTTTGGAGATACTTTATGGGAATAATTTATCATATGGTACTCTGGACCATTGTGCAGTTGAATTGGTCTTTTTGGTGTGGGAACGATGGGTCCTTCTGGGGAAATTCCAGATTAAAGTGATTCTCTCTGCCCACCGTCTCCAAGACCTCTGGGATCTTCTGAAGCCGTGCTCAGTGTGACCATTTAAACAGAGCCAGGGACATTCCTGTCATCCATTACATGAGTTTCAGGATTTATTGTTGCATACGCTGGAAGGAGCACAGTGACAACCTTACGGCACGGTTGCAGGGGAAGGGAGAGTCACAGGGGAGTCGACAGTATAGACAGCCGTGCAGTAAGAGTCAAACGAATGACTGTTTTCTCTCCCTTAATTTGCTGTTAAGGCATTTCCCTCATTATTCTTTTCGGTGAACATTTTAAATGTAGCTGAAGGACAGCAGATCATCTCCCATCGGACTCCACTTTCAACAGGTTGTGTTAATGCTCTCTCAGATGGTCCTGCACCAGTGAGAGCAACCTGCAGCTTCTGGCTGCTATTGATTGGTAGAGCTAAACTACTCCTACCTGACTAGAAGGTCTAAGAGCCACCCCCACCCCCTTGCATGTTCTGCACCTCTGATTTCTTCCATCATTGACACTCCGTTTAATGTTCCACCCCCTACCCATTAATATCTCCTCCCGAAGCCTTTGATAGCCACACCATCACTCTGCTTTCTGGATTGCTTTCCTGACGGACAGCTTAATTCATTTTCCTGTTCCATGTTTTAACTACTTTGGGCTCTCTGAAATTGCAGCACGCGCTCAGATTATGGGGCACTCAGGATCATAACGCAAAGACCAGTGGTGTTATAGATCAGGGGGAAGCACATTTCAGGCCATGGTGCATCATTTTCACGCAGTGGGTCTTCTGCTAAGCCTTGGCATCAGAAGCACGAGGAGAAGGTGGAGACTTTCAGAGATGGGTTTTCACCAGTGGACAAAGAGAAACTGAACAGGAAATAAATAAACCTTTTTTTTTTTTTGATTGACCCATGGCAGAAAAATATCTGTGCTGACATAAGTCTGACGCGTATGATTATGATAAGTCTCTGTTTGTGTTTGGGGTGATGATGAAGATAGCAAAGCTCTCTCTAGATGACCCACTCTAGGTGCCAGCTCAGTGCCATTACATGTTGTGTTGCTAGCTATGATGATGATGAAGGCAGACACTTGTTAACACGTCTTTTCATCCAGACTTGGTTGCTTCAGGTTTCTTGGGCTCACTAATTAAGATCAGACAGTTTAGCTCATCTCTCATAATAATTCAAGGTTCTGACCTGTTCTCCTTATTTAATGTTTTACGTCAGATCTTTAGTTACACAAAGATCTGTGGGATACAGACCCTGTGGGATACAAAAGTCGTCTATAGTTTGAGCCAGAGCAGAATAGTCCTGTATGGTCTCAACAATTGAAGCGTAGCCCTCTCTTTTCTGGTTCATTGCAGAATAGTCGTCTGTAGTATTATCATAGTTGTTAGTACTCTGGTCTAGCACAGAATCGTCCACTATAGTCTCATCTGTCCAATAGTAATCGTCGGTAGTCTGGATCTCAAATTTCTTTGTTCCTGTATTGGTTTGCCTGCAGTCCTTTATCACAGGCTGTGCATCACCTCCATCTTCCATGTTGCCCCAGACAAGACCAGCTGGCTCATAAATGCTTGATAAATCAGTTTCTCTGTGGAGAATGTGTGTAGAGACCCTCTGTGTTTTTGTTTGTACTCTTCCTCCCTTTTGACAGATGTGTAGAACATCTGGCTCCCACTATGCCCACATCTTGGTGGGATTTTGGGTTTTGTTTCTGGTTAAAGAGCACCATGTGGCTTTCAAATCTATTTAAAATTGAAAAGACTAATAATCTAACCTGTCTTGAATGTAATTTGCTGCAGTGGCGTGGCGGTACATGATTCTGTGGGGGTGGGACGTTGCATTTTTAAAGTGAAGGTTTGTTAAGATGCTATGCCTGATCGGAAGGTCATGGATCGAATCCCAGGGTCAGCAGAGTGGTTTGACCATCGGGCCCGTGAGCAAAGCCTCAACCCCAATTACCCCATCTCTCTCAATTTTATGTAAAAAAACAAAAAATGCTGAAACTGCTCCCGGGAATACAGATGACCGAGACCCAGCAGAATCCAAGCTGAGTGGACCAAAGCCTCTGAGGGATTGTTGGCGTGATACCCACACCTTTCCTTCTCACTGCCCAAAAGGATATTGCCTGCCCTCCCTTTGTGCGTCTCGTTGTCTCTATCCATTTTTAACTTTAGGGGCCTTTATCAAAGCCGGCGTGTGCCGCTGGGCTGCAGGGCGATAATGGGGCGTGTAAATACCCCCATCGCTGGTTCACAGTGGACTGTAATCAAACCCCAGTGAGAACAGGTGCCTTTTATGTGCTCGTGAAGCTAATTAATGTGGAGTGAAAATGGCTTCAGGGCCAACATTTTCTCACCGAGAACAGGGTTGAATTTATCTTGCGTGGGGACCTGCTCTCAGGCTGAAAGAGCTCATTCAGTTGGTCTTTTCATGTTAGATGCAGTTTCTGGACAGGCTTTTGTTTTGGCAATGGACCGGTGACCCCGCCCAGTTCTTACGGGCGCGTTGGAGGGGCTGAGGCTAAGCGGAGCGGCATCTTGTTGCTGTGGGCCAGGCTGACGACCCGCTGCCTTTTCAGGGGTCCTATGGAGGGCAGGCAGAAGACTGGCAGCTGTGCTTCAGGGTGCAGGACCGGGGACAGCTACAGAAATGCCTGCTGAGTCAGTTCCTGAAGTTGAAGGCTCTCTGGTGCCGTCTCAGTGTGGCTTGGCCGTCACACGCATCGTGGGGGGGGGGGCTAAAACATCTGACATCAGTGAGAGAGTCACATGTCCGCTTCTCATACAGAACATGCTGTTATACCATCGTATTTTCATATTTTATATGACAGAAATCTGTCCTGTCCTAAGTAGCCTGTTAATAAATGCTGGAGATTGGGTTCAGTTTTATTCTCTTATTATTATTATTATTATTTATTATTATTATTCTGTGATCTGGAGACGCCTTCAGTGTGACCTGGGTTCTGTAGCTTCTCAGGTTAGGCATTGTTCTCTAGGGTCCTCCGAAGGGTCTCACCCGGGCCTGGATTTGGGGTTGGCGCCGTGGCTGTAAGTTTATATCCGTAAGTGCCTTGTTTCTCCTTTGGGTCGCCTGGTTGCAGCCACCGCCGGAGGGAATCGATTTCCACGTGGCTGCGCTGCCCTTGTTTCCGTGGCGACGGTATTTATTACCTGAAAAGTTCCCCGCCAGCTTCAGAGGTAGAGGACAGTATGAGGGCTTCGAGGAGCTAACCCCCCCCCAGCAAGGTGTCCATCTCACAGGCTGATCTTACCATTTCTCTAATGCGATCGGTCTTTCGCTTCTTTCCTTGAGAAGGTCAGTCCCTGCTTTGAATCCATGGTGTCACACCGATGGCAGACGAGGACAAACATCCCGACTCTGTTTAGCAGGTTCTGTGTGTCATTAAAGCCATTTGGAGCCCTTTTAGGCTCTTAAGTATGCTTTTTGGATTTCCAGCCCGAAACAGACTAAATGGCTGTCTGCATTTTGTCAGAAGGGGGCGTCCGCCCTGCCGTGAGCTCTGCCTCTTTGTCTCTTGCTAATGGCCTTCATTCTCTACTTTGCTTTCCACAGGGACTCATGATCCTGTTGCAGAACCTACCCACAATGCACTGGGGCAACGAGGAAGTGAGCGTTCTCCTGGCGGAGGCGTACAGACTGAAGTTTGCCTTTGCTGACGCTCCGAATCACTACAAGAGATGAGCCTTGCCCCCCCCCCCTCTTTCCATGGTACTGCTGAATTCTAGGTGTCATCTCCTAGCCTCTTCAAGCTGCACAGCTGTAATAAGATTCAAAGTGTGCTTTTTTGGGTTCTGTGTGAAGGTCTTACCGATGCCTTTCAAGTTCCCTGTGTTTT